TCCTCATTTCCGTAGCTTTCATTTTACATGTTCCCTGTCTAAGCATTGTTTGTTATCAGAATTTGTCTGTCGCACTGGTAGCAACGTGCTTATGTTGCATGGGTGATTTTTCTTTAGGAAGGATCACACCTCCTGGGTAGTCTAGCCTCTTTCAAAGCAACATACCACCTCTGCCACCAATCCATTGTGTGAACCTCTGTTTAGATATCAGTGAAATGAGCAAAATGATAATTACTGTACCTGGATTGCTCTAAGGATGCAATGAACTACATATTTGTAAAACCCAGTACATACCTAGCCTTAGAAGAGGCTTAGTGTGTTGTTACTATTCTCTATGTTATATTTTACAATGGTTGATAAGAAATAGAATGAACAGAATAAAATCAGTGTATATTACTAAGAAAAAATAGTAGAAACTCATGGCAGAATTTTAAATTTTCTACTTGTATTAAAAGTACTGACAAAGTAAACTTTCTACGTACCTAGTCTGGGGGTTTCTCATCTCACCTCAGATTAACTGGCTTTCTGATATGGTGATGCCAAGTGAAAGTAATCACCTGCTAATAGTACATGATTTTCCTCAGGGGAATAAGTAAATTGCTATACAAGAGTTAACTAAAAATGAAATCAGTCAATTAATTAGACAATCAATCAACCAATCCAATAAAAGAGAATCCCCACAACTCTAAGGTTACTGGAACATCAGAAGATAGAGTTGAAACTTTGGTATCCAGCTTTTATGGCTATGAAGTCACTTCAGGTCATTGTTTCTTAAAACTATAAAATGGAATAAGTGCACTCCTTATATGTTTGGTATAAGAACCAAGTAAAAAATATGTATGAAAACACTCTATAAACTTTACAAATGCAACACTATTTACTCGCTTAAGAATCATCATTTATTATTTGTCATCTCATTTCACACCCTACAATCCTTTCTAGCCATTTGGCCAATAATTTATGAAACTCTGGCATGGTGATTTATTCAAATAATTTTATGATTCAGATTAGCAAACTCCTACACTATAACTCATATGCTTTTGCAGTCCTTACCTTCTAAGCTTAAATTTCACATCCAAGATGTTTATAAAATATTGCACCTTAAGACAGCCATCATTTTCTGTTAGCATATTTTAAAAACAAGTAGGGACTATATGAAGGCCATCAAATTTATTACAAATCCTTCCTGAACCTGGCTGCTAAGACACATCAAGATGGATTTCACATTTATACATCAACAGAGGAATGTTTAGAGATAAGATGAAAGCAGTCCTCCTTACTAATCACACATTGTATATTTGACTTCTGCCTCTCTCCTCAGCCCTTAAATCAACTACATCTGGTTCTTGCTACTTAAGTGTGCCATTACCGTTTACATTAAAAGGCAGGTACTCCTGGAGAAAGCAGCTACATTTGATTAAAAATTAACTAACTAGAGTTATATTCATTCTACACATCATGGCAACCTAAACAAGAATTTAAGTATAGGTTGGAGACCTACTTTACTTCAACAGTACAGTCAGCAGAACTGAGAGACATTTTATGGTTGCGATGAATACTAGCATGTAATAGTTATGCTGCTTTGCTGGTGTTAATTTTATAGTTAAAAACAAAAAGCAGAATGGTACAGAATGGTCAACATCTGACACTTAGGTAGGATTAAATTACAGAGCAACTGAATCTTGATGCTGCTATCCCATGCCAGAGGGAATCCTCCTCTATGAAGGCCAGATACTGGATTATTATTGTAATACTCAGAGAAGTCAAGTTCTGGAAACTGACTCCTGCTAAGCAACTACATACATAATTGATGCACAATTATCAAGCAGATCCTGTTTTGGAGTTCATTGATTAGTGAATTCTCTCTCAGGAAGGAAATCTGCGTAGAAAACAAAATTTCTTGGTAAGCACACACATGCACACACACATATATGCAAGACTTTCTCAATGAATACTCAATGAAGATGTTCTCATTTACATTCTGGTGCAAGTTTCTTACCTATATATTACACACACACACACACACACACACACACACACACACACTCAGCACAGTGTGCTGAGTGCTGAGTGACAAAGATAATTTACATTCTAATGCAAGTTCCTCATCGCCTTACAACCTGTGGACCATACTTTGTGGAGCACTGGTTCTTTGCCTGACTCATAATTACTTTGAGAAGCCTCATAAAATATATAGTATCCTAGTACAGTATATGCTCTTGAAGATTTCTGGTGTGTTGTACCTTTATCTGCATTTAAAAATTGTTCTCATGTAGTTTTGATGAACACTCAAGGTTTAAAAGTCATATAATAAAATGCATAGGGTAATTGACAGTGCTGAACTAAATCAGTTAGAGGTTAAGAGCATGGGTTTCAGAGTTGGGGGCTAGTTCATGCTCATTCTCGAACAAGTTGTTTTGGGGCTTCTAAACCTCAATAGTCTCATCTGTGAAGCAGCTATTACATATAAAATTGTTGTGAAGTTTAAGTGAGGTTAAAAAGGACAATGCTTAACTCAGTGCCTGCTGCATAATAGGCAATTAGTAAATTTCAGCCATAAATGACAGGTGTCATCTTCACAATGGAGATTTATCTGCCATTTTTAGGATCTGCACATTCACATATAACCCCAAGTTCCCTGGACAAATAAGAAACATACTGCTAACGTTTCCTTATCGGAGGCTTTTACTGCTAAACATTTGCCAAATGTAGTAGTCAAAACTCCTGGTTGTGTTAAAAACCTAAATCAGTGTGATTAAAGGGGGAAAAAAGTTGTCTGCTCAAGGGAAGTTATTAAGATCATGCAACTTAAAACCAAACGTCCAAGGGTGGAGTTAGCTAAATACATAGCTGCATTCAGATGCTCAAAAGTATCCTATTTATATCACCTGGCTCTGTCTCTGTGTTTCTATGTCTCTATGTATCCCTCTATCTATCTATCTATCTATCTATCTATCTATCTATCTATCTATCTGTCTATCTAATCTTCTATCTATCTTTCTAGGTTAGTTTCATTCTTAGGCTGGCTCTGGTTTTGTAGTTGTAAAAGGGGCATCACCTGTGTCAGCCATATATGCTACCAGCTTATTAACCACAGATTAAAATGTTCTTTTGTAATCTACTTTGACAAAATCCCAGAACTGAGGCTTACTGGCCTTACTTGGAGTATCTTTTCATTCTTGAACAACTCACACTTGCTGTAAGAGCAGAACATTCTGGTTTGCCAGACTTGAGCATGTACCCACTCTTGAAGCTAGCATGGGAAAACTCTATCTGAAGCATCTGTTCTGAAGGGTGAAAGATCGTTTTACAAAAGAAAGTGAAGGGATGTCTTTAGTAAAAGGGAAATATATGATATGAAATCCAACATGATAGATGTTTATTACTCTGATCTGCTCTTTTCCTCATTGCTGAAATATGTTAGCTCAAATGTAATAAAGTCAAGATTTGGCCTAGAAGTCTTACATTTTGATAATTTTCAGATATTTATTCTAATCTATTTTATATTTGTTGTATGATAAACTTTTATCGGTTCAAGATTTGTTCTCTATGTCTAAGTTGGGAATAAAGGATGAAGGGGAATTCTCTTATATTGACCAAGAACAAATTTTGAATTTATTAATAATAATATGAGTTTGATTCTAAACTTTCTTTTTTTGTTAGCTTGGGGCAGATTCATGTTGGATAAATAGAAATAAGCAAGGGATGATGTTAGAAAGTGAGCTGCCAAAGTTTCACAAAGGGGAATTTACGTTTAGATGATATTTATTACATGATAATAACGTTACTATGGATTATAAAATAGTGGATATATTATGGTTCACTACATCAGGAAAAGTCACGTAGCTGTTAATGATTTGGAACCCGGCTTGCAAAGCGCAACTTGGCAGAGCTACCAAGTGGTTGAAAGTGTTGGTATGAGAGTTAAGGACTTCAGTGCTCAGGTCCAAGTCTGGCTGTTTTTGTGGTGTGTGGCCTTGGACCTGACTTTGCTGGGATGCAATTTCCCCACATGTGTAACTGAGTAATAAAATGCAGTCACCACGTGGTGCTGGGGAGAATTGAGCACATTGACAGGAGGTGCAGGCTGCTTCTGTGTTTTTGAGCAGTGTGTGTGTTTAGCGTTATTCCTTCAGGTGCCTTGAGGGCTCTCTCATGACAAGTCACTTAATAATGCTCCTTGGCCCCTATGGCATTATTAATTTTACAACCAGAGTGTGCTCTAATATGGTGTCATGAAGGCCTATATTACCCAAGGCAAGAAAGGCAAATAACCCACATAGGCTGGACTTGCAGTGCCTATTTCTGAGCTTGCAAAGGAGTCTGGAGATTGGCTATAGCTGGCTCGCAGGCTCTGAGGGTCACTTCATATATCATTGCACATATTTTAATATTCCCTGAAAGATTCTCATTTGGGGTATCTGCCCTTCTTCCTCTCCTCATCCCACTCCCCCAGTGCAGCATGATATTTTATTTATTATTATAAAAATGGAAGCAGGGGGCTGGATTTTTCTAAGATGAGCGGTCAGTATGGTTTAACAGAAAAACCAGAGCACCAAGATTTAGATTGAAATGATTATATAAACTCTGCTGCATTCTTGCTGGCTGACCCTGTGTTCATTATTGGCCCTCTCTGACTCTGTTTCCTCATCTATCAAATAAACAGAACAATGAGGCCAACTGTGCCTAACCCAGATCTTTGCTACGAAGGTTAAATGAGAAAATGTCGACAACAGGAAAGAATGATCCAAGTGCAAATTATTATTATGATTGCGATTATCACATATATATATGTATGGTTATCAGTCTATTAGGAGTTTGTTGACAACTGGATTCCTGTGTGCTCTGCTTCCTTTACTCCTGCTCCCAGAGATGCAGAGGATTCCTGCCAGATGGCTGATTTGCCAGCTGTGTCTTGTTTTGTCATTGTAAATAGTACATGCGTCAACTGGGAGTCTTTGCTTTATAATGTAGCACGCTTTGTCCTTTATCTCTTGCAGCTTGAGAATTACATTGTGGAAAATATGAAGTCGGAGATGGCTCAGATACAGCAGAATGCGGTTCAGAACCACACGGCCACCATGCTGGAGATAGGAACCAGTCTCCTGTCTCAGACTGCAGAGCAGACCAGAAAGCTGACAGATGTTGAGACCCAGGTATGCCACTGGGGCCAGCGTCTACAAACTCAGCCAGAATTTATTTATTTATTTTCTTTTCCTTTTGTTTGCTTCATAAACACAGAGCATACTTCAGCACTGAGACTGGGGAGACATACATTTTTGTTCATTGGTAATAACAATAATGACAACCTGACATGCTATGTATGTTTCTTTTTATTTAATGAAAGTTGGTATATTTTACTTTGTATGTGTTTACAAAAAACAGAGCTGACAATGACCTAATTAGCCTTTAAATTCGAATAAATACTGCAGCTACCAACTGTGATATGATATGTGTCAAGCAAAATAACCATTTGGGTCAAATTGGCGCCTTTGACCTGCCTTGTCTTGTCTCTGATAATTCTGTAGCCATATATGGCACCTACAAAGGGTGTGTACATTCTGTAGATTGAAAGGAAAACCTCACATGAATTGATCCAATGACATACTTATTCGAGTGAAATCAGTAAAAATATGATCACTGCCACAACCCACCATCACAGTTTAGAGCAGACAGGATATATTGTTTTGATGACTAGAAGATGACCTTTTGGTCCCCTTTTAACCATGAAAGTGTTTATTCCAGTCACCATTCTAAAACTCAAAGGATGATACTATTTCAATTTAGTTGATTTTTGACATCAAAACTGAAATCGATAAATTCAAAAATAAGATGCAATCTTATTTCTATTTCAGTCTGTTTGTGTTGGTGAAATTACAGCTGTGCTGGTATTTAAAGAAAAATGGCAATGACAGTTTATAGGGTAGGGACATTTTATATCAAACATACAACTTTGCCATATACAAATGGTTTTTATGAAAATCGTTTTGAGCAGATATGTCAAGAGTTGTGAACAATTTCTCACCATGACATAGCTAGTGAATAGAATACAAGACTCACACTCCAGTGTATTCATTTCTTTTCCCTCCTTGATTAGTAATACTAAGGATTAACTACTTGAATAAGAACTTAAATATACATGGGAGAAATAAATTCCATGGACTCTGAAGAATCGTTTTTGCTACACATGAACATCAGATAAACATGGGGGATGGAAAGGGAACAAACGGCATATTGTAACTGAAAACTAAAAGACTTTTTAAATTGTTTATCATCACATCGAGTTTGACTTCTTGTGTTATAAATATGTGACTATATTTTTTGGTTTACATTAGAACAGAAGGTTCACTATCTCCTACAAAACGCTCTCATATATTAAAAAACTGAAATACACAGTATATCTTACTTGATTGCACATTTAAATTTTTATACATTTATGTTACCATAACTTTTAGGAAATGCATGGTAGGGTTTTTTTTTTTTTTTTTTTAATTCTATCTTCGAAGAAACTCTTTCTTGAGTTGTGTTTGCTCTCTTTCCACCTAGGAATTTGAATTGTGGAAGAAAATATCCCGGTGTTTGCATGTTAATCTCCAAACTGTTAAGATGCATGTTTTATAAGGTTTTAAGAGATAATAACTTGTTCTGCATCCTTAAGGCCAGGAGATGTGTGCTTTATGGAAAATAGCATAGAAATATCAAAGAAAAAAAGAATAAATACTCTCTATATGAAACAACTAATATGTATCGTTAAAGGCCAATGGAAATTTATTAGATGCAGAAAGAACAATTTTAAGATAGCTAAAACCCAGAAAATATCTCAAAAATGACAAATTTATCAGAACTAGCAATGAGAGGGAGGCAGGGAGGGGAAGACACTGGCTCAAACATGATTTATCTTAAAAAGTAAAGCCTATGTGTCTTTTCATCTTCATTGTAATGTCTTCCAATTGTCTGTGCTATTGTAGCTGTGATGCTCCAAACTTTTTTTCAGATAAATGCATGCCCCTGTGGTACTTGTTTGAACTACCACAACAGGACATGTTCTATTTACATATAACCACTCAAGTGCATTCAAGTCCTGATGCAGGGCAAGTCTACAAAACATATTCTGAATTATTCCTTAACCTCAATACCCTCTATTCATTTATAATAAGCTTTTATAAACCGATAGATCTTTCTGTGAGGTCCAGGTATGCTCTCATGATTTTGTCCCTATATTTATCTAACTTGGCTTCAAGTTCTTAAAAGTGACTTCAGGCCCTCAGTAATTTCAGGAATTCTTAGAAGGGTTTTGCAATATGCTTGAGTGCCCTAGGTTTCACACGATGATTTACAAAGAAAAACTATTGCTTTCTAGTTCTCTGCTGACCTTCTAAACTTGCAACTTTGGAAGGGCCATGGTTTTACTACAATGACATTTTAAGATATTCTTGTGCTGGATAAGCATCATAATTAGAAAACAGACTGGTAATAAGCACATCTAAATAAGTCTGCTTGCCATAATGGTGAGAATCAAGAAACACCAACTTGCCCTTTCCTTCCTCCTTAGTCTGACTTAGTGTTTTTCTCACTCTGTTATCAATGTGTACCAATATCTCATTGCCTTCAGATTCTCTTTCCAAATGTGCAATATGGAGGGGTTAGTTTCAGTGATTATTAATGTACTTTCTTGTCGTGTGATTCTATTTCTCACTACTTTCTCAGGCACACATGGCTTTGGGAGAACTAGTTGACAAACAAATTGCATTAAAATTCACTTCTAATAATTGTTGCTTGGCTCATCTCTTAGTGATTTTACAGATATTGGTTACCTAACACTAATAATAAATATTATTATGGTGTAGTTAGTATTATCATCTCTTGTTCAAAGATGAGGAAACTGAAACACAGAGGCGAAGAAACATGGCCAACTGAAATAACTAGTGAATAATAGAGCAAGAATAGGAACTCAGACAGGCCAGCATCAGAATCTATGTGCTTTACCAGCTCTCTGTGCATGCTGCCTCTTTCTTGTGGTTCTCTTCTTTCTTGAGAGTTTCAAGACAATAAGTGGGACCAAGCAGAAGATAAGACAGAATTAGATAAAGCAAAAGGTAATGTGGACCTAATAGCAGCCACTGAATGTTTCCTACAAATGATACCACTGCCCTACGAAAGATGATGATGATACCACCTATTGTTGCCATTCTATCACATGCCAATCACATTGCCTCATGTGATCCTAGGATCTAGAGCTGTCCTTGCTACTCAATAGCTATATGGACTCCAGGAAAGTTCCTAGAGACACTGAGCATAAGTTTCCTCCAATTTCTAATAGTTTATATGGGAATTATAGTGTTAGAAATGAAATTTAATCAAATTTTAAATGATGAATTTTGAGTACTTTCTTGATGCTTAATGTTTTAATAGATACTATACAAAATACAATAACAAATAAAGCAGTTCTTGTCTTCAATGAGTTGAACTGAGTTAATGTGGCAAAATGTTTCTAAGTCATTTTATTCTTACTTTTCTTTCAAATTAATTAGGTATGGGACCTTCCTTTACAGTCATAAAATTGTACCTTTCCAATCTCCTACTGTGGGGAGTGTAATCCACCAATGCTCCCAACTGTAGTGCTCTGAAATCCATCACTGTGTTGGTGCAGATACTGCAATCCCTAGTGACCACTTCCGGGCAATGACTCATTAAGATTCTCAGAGTACAGAGAAAATATATTCACTCAATGTTTCTTATTGGGTCAGAATATTTTTGCAGTTAACTGCTTCTGTTCAAAGTTCTCTTCTGACCCATCTTCCATTTCCTTTAGGTTTTTCAAGTTTGTTCCATACAAGTATACATATCTAATAATCTTTTGTATTTCTTCAGCATCAGATGTGACTTCATCTTTTGTGTTTCTGATTGTGTTTATTTGGGCTTTTTCTCTTGGTCAGTCTAGCTAGGGGACCATTGATCTTGTTTATCCTTTTAAGAACCAGCTTTTTGTTTTGTTGGTTTTTTGTATTATCTCTTGTCTTCAATGTCCCGGATTTGGGCTTTTATTTTGGTGATCTGGATTCTTCTACTGAAGTTAGGGTTTTGATGGGCTTGCTTTTCCAGCTTCCTTAGGTGATTTGTTAAACTGTTAACTAGGGTGCTTTCCATTTTCTTCATGTGCGTTTGTAGAGATATGAATTCCCCTCTTACTACTGCTTTCATGGCATCCCAGAGATTTGGATAAAATGTTTCTTCATTTTCATTTGTTTCTAGGTATATGTTAATCTCTGTTTTGATTTCCATGTTGACCGAGGAGTTGCTTAGCATCATGCTGTTTAGGGGCCATGTCTTTGTGGGTTTTGGGGGACTTATGTTGGTGTTCATATTTATTTTTATTCCACTGTGGCTTGAGAAGGTGCGTGGCAAAATTACAATCTTATGAAATTTGTTTATGCTTGATTTATGGCCAAGGATGTGGTCAATCTTAAAGTTCATTCCATACAGTGATGAGTGAATGTATATTGTATGGTCATTGGGTGGAGTGTTCTGTAGGTATTAATTAAGTCCATTTGGTCAAGAGTCACATTGAAGTTCTGGATCTCCTTGCTGATTTTTTGTCCTGGTGATCTGTCTAGGATTGTGAGTGGGGTATTAAAGTCCCCAGCTATGATAGTATTAGAGTCAGTATATTTTTTGAGTTTACCTAGAAGCTGCTTTATGAAAGCTGGCACTCCTATGTTGGGTGCATATATGTTTAGTATGGATATTTCTTGTTGATGGATTGAACCTTTTATTATTAGATAGTACCTTCCATATCTTTTTAAATTTTTGATAGCTTAAAGGGTATTTTGTCTGAGATTAAGATCATGACTCCTCCTTTCTTTTGTGTTCCGTTCACCTGAAATTTTGCTTCCCATCCTCTTACTTTGAGTCTGTAAGTATCCTTTCTAGTGAGATGAGTCTCTTGAAGGCACTATATTGTTGCCTGGTGATATTTTATTCATTTTGCCCTTCTATGTCTTTTCAGTGGTGCATTTAGTCCATTCACATTCAGACTAATTATTGAAATGTGAAAGTTGATCCCTATCACAAGGTTCTTATAGAGTTGTTGTTCCTGTTTGTTTGTTGTCTTTCTTCTGATTTTTGGGTTGACTCATGTATTTACAATCTTTTTCCT